CTTTTACTCGATCGTAATAATTGTTGATTGTTTTTAAACTGGCAAGCGGAAGAAATTTTAGTGGTGAACAATAAAGAAAATAGTGTTTATCTCTCGGAACTATCGATCTGATAGTTGCCCCTTGGAAATCTGATGTTCTTAAAACTAGCATATCTGCCCGAGAAGCGAAGCTTCGAGGGCAAATATTTGTTTTAAGAACATCAAATTTCCACAGGGCAACTATCAGCTGATAGTTCCGAGACAGAAACACTCTATTGTTTAAATAGTTGCCCCTTAGAAATTTGATGTTCTTAAAACTTGCATATTTGTTTTAAGAACATCAAATTTCTGTGGTGCAACCATCAGTCGATAGTTCCTCGACAGAAACACTCTTGTTTAAATAAACAGTGAGCAGTGCAGCCAATCAGATTACTGCATTTAACATGGAATTCTAGTGGATTTTCACTAATTCTTAGTATGAGCATTTCTTCAAAAGTTATTGTCAGTACCCAGTACATACTGTTCTCTATACTTTTTTCAGGGTACTTAAAGGAGAACTGGCTTAATAATCAAGAGTTTCTTGGCTTTGCGATCATTTCCTTTATTCTTAGGACCTTAATGCTTGATTCAAGGGCTCTATGCTCTTACGAGAAATTAGATGCTTGTCAATCTTAAGGGCTTAAGGGTAAGCCATATGGGGTGGAACCCTACCTTGGAGGTGGCAGAAATTTTTCCTCATTTTTGAGATACCTTGCAACAGTAAGAGCTACTCCATTCTTCAGAGCCTAAAATTCATAAACCAAAAACAAAGAAATAAGAATTTATTACTAAAAGCCAAACAGTTACAACAAAAAGGGCAATACAACAGTATAACATATTGAAGACCTACTCACATAATCAACAACTTGTTTCAATTTCTCTTCATCTTCCTCAAATGTTTCAAAAGGTTCCAGAAGTCTCAGGTGTAAAATAGGAGATCCCTCGGATCCTTCACGTAGAAGTCCATTGAGTCTGAAATGAAAAATGGTGCTTATAACACTTAATCAAAATTAAGGAGGGTGTGTGCTGTCCAGGTGGCACACCTCTGCCAATAATTGGATGGACTGCTCCCCCCCTACAGGGTTCAACACCTGGCTACCTGCATTACTTGCCACTGCACTAGTGATTTCTACAATTTATTAGCCCAAAACACAACTTGTTAGCCCAGATCAATTTCCCTTGAGGTCTACTTCAACCCCAAACACACAAACCTTACTCTAAAGTTATTCGCAAGGTCTTTTAAAATGATAAAGAATAGTACAATTGCTTCAAGTGCGAGGCAATCGTGCAAGGCAATGTGCAAGGCATTGCAACATTGGTAAGCACAGAGTCTTGGATGTAGCGATATTTACGATCGACATGCAAGACAAAAAATGACGCCAGTAGATGAAAGGCTTCTGCCTTCTTTATTGGTATTATCATTAAAAATTTGAACTTTATTGTTTTTTTTTAATCAACTGTGAACTTCAAGTAAACTAGCATATATAATTTAGTTCAATTTTTCTACTAGCCAGCGGGCTATTAAACAAGTTTTTTTTATTAGCCGGACCAAATTTTTACTAGCCTCGGGCTACCAGGCTAGGGGAGATGTTGAACCCTGCCCTATAAATTTTGCTACAAATACAACCATCTTCTTTTACTTCTTAAGTTATGAAACTTGTAAAGCCAAAATAATAACATTACTAATAATTACTGTGTACATACCCTTCAAGTTCTCCATACAATAGTTTTGCCTTCTCTTTGAGTTCCTCAAACATTTCTAAATGACAAATTCAATTAAAAAGTTGATTGAGTGATTCGTGTATGGTTAAACCAATTAAAAATTACACTTTCCAAGACAAATGTTTGCTTTATTATTAACCTGGTTTTTCTTCTATGATGTTTAACCCTTCAATTGCTGCTGAGGCCAACATAGGTGGGAGAGATGCAGAAAAACAGTACCCAGCACCCGATAGTCTCTATGAGAAAAAAAAAAACAACATAAAATTAAAGTCTAAAAACAACAAAATTAATATTTCACAAGATTATGACATATAATTCCTTGTGTTTCTGGCTACTACAACTGCCACTATAAAAACTACATGTAATTTGGGTAGGTAAAATATGATAAATCAAACGACAAACCTGATGATCAACTACAAATGATGTCCCACAACAGAACCCACCAATTGTTGCTAACGAGTTCTCCATTGAAACAGAGATCATGTCAACTTCTTCAATCTGAAGAAAGAATATGTTCAAAGAGTTTACAGGTTTTATCTTTGTTTCAGGGTTGTCACTAGAAGCCGGTAGGCAGAAATCCACCAGCTGTCAGACCATTTTGCGCCGGCTACTTTGTAATGCAGAATTTTTGTAATATTGAGATCTGTCTTCCCAAGGAATCTTTCTTTTTGTAAATCTGAAGCTTAGTTTAGTGATCACTCTCTTGTATACTTCTGATTTTATGGAAGACAGAAAAACCTAAAAACATGTACAGGAAGTACTGTACAAAAACTATCAGTGGTACAGCTAACTAATGAGTAATATGAAATGCATGACCATCACAAAGCACGAAACCATCGCAATTCACATGTGCATTGATGCTTCGAAAATAGGAAATGGATGGCCAGCGAAGAAAGTGATCTCTTCAATATTACTTTTCAAGTTATCGAAGACGAAATCTACCGAAAATGAGAGCCACCAAGGCAAGGAGTTTCAATTGCTGTCAAATATCATAATTACGAAGCTCACCGAAGCATTTAATAACACAGATATATCTCATTTAAATACAATGGCAAATTATTGCCAATCCACTACATACTTTCAAAAGAGCTCAAAGGGGGTTGGAAAAGGAAGTTTATTAAGACCTATTTCACCTTGCTGAATCAGTTGTGTCCATTCCACTCTAAAGAATTACAAAGGCAGGAAGATTCGCCTTAATTTGCCGTACACCGAACACCTACCGCTATAACGCTAAATAATACAGAAAGATGTTCTCTCGAGTTCGAGACAGCTAGACTTTCATTAATTGCTTCTTTAGACTTGCAGAAAAGAACATGTTTTACGTTATCCGCCAGAGAAATGACAAAAATTTTGAAGGAAAACTTCGTCATTTTGTTTATGATTTCGACAAAGTTCTTTGATCATGGTAAATTTCGTTCCAACCCTACGTTGCCGTCAATGTTGCCGCCAGATTGGTTTTTGTTTAAGATTTAGCAACGTTAGCTATTGTTCACCAAATCAGTTGAATTAAAATACCTGCTATTTAACTTTGTTAAAATTTATGGACCTTTTCGGGTACTTGTCATTAATTAAAAAGGCCAAATGTTTCATGTTATCGTGATTTGCAAAGCTGGTGCATTCTGCAGGTGATTTCCAGATGTTTATCAGTTGTGATGTTTAGAGATAAGAGGAAATACTTTGATAAACAAAACATATGCTTATTTTAAATTCAGACGTGGAGCTTGAATCCAGGGGGTTTTTACAGCGAAAAAGGGGAATTGAATTGTAACACGATAAACCAAATTTATAAACCAAATTCTATGGACAAAAAAAAAAAAAAACAGAAACAAAAACAAAACAAGACAAAAATGCAATGAAAGAAAACATTATGAGGATAGAAGGCTCAAGCATTTTCCTTCTGGCAGAAGTTCATAATGAAAACGAATCTTCATTCATTTATTGCTTCGAGAAATTGTGACTGAAAACACCAACGTTTCATCAGAAAGAGAAAGGGGTGGAATTAAGGGAAGAAACTTTCCACGTTTGTACATATTTTTGAACTGATATTAATATCAATGTTTCGCTAAAAAGGCTACTTAAATATGCCCCAGAATGCTGGAAAACACATCACAGAGAGTTTCGCATTTCAAAATTTTTGAGGGGAGCATGCCCCCTGGACCCCCTAGAGAGGCTGTTGCATAGCAACACGCCGTGCTTACTCCGCAAGCACAATATTTACTTCAGCCGCCTACTCAGTTCAGATCAGACACCTATTACATTTTCTAATGACAACCCTGTTGTTTACTTGCTTATTAGCTGTTTTGAAATTTTTGGCTTTAGCACACAATGTTACTTTTCTTTGCTTTTGATCATTTACTTTATTCTAGAAGATAGAGGCTGGTTTTTCAAACTACTGGAGTTTTTTAAAGCTTTTAGTTTGTCTTGCTCTATCTTTATGTACATAAAGACAGTCCAAGGTTTCAATAAAAACTTGCTACATGTGGGTAGTTAAGAATAGCAAACAGGTAGTTACTTTTATGGGTCTGGAGGGCAGCTTCCTCTCCCTTGGGAGGTCTGAGTACCTGGGAAATTTTGAAGGTCCAGACTCTGACTGTTGAATTTTCCTTTACTTTGAACTATTTTCAAATTTATGTTTCTACAGGTCACTCAAGCTATCAAGTACAATGACGTCTGTTTAGAGGGTACAAAGGGGTAGTTACCTCATTACAAGCATTGAGATTTACCTGCTACTCCACTGCTATTGAAATGGATAAAGACACTAACACAAAATATGGATACAAAGATAATTTATAGGACTGGTACAACAGATGAGAAACTTACTGGGACATCAAAGTGCTCTGTCAATCCTCGACCGGTTTGCCCAAGAACCCCAAATGACGCACTCTCATCAATAATGAGACGTACTTTGTACTTGTACTTCAGTTCAATCTTAGCAAGCAAATACAAATTTCTCTTTCACTTAGTAACTTACTGCAAAGAAAAGCTGGTTTAATACTTCTTAGCCAACAAATTAAGCTATAGAACAATTTATATACTTGACAAAATATGGCATTCGTTCACAACCATGTTATGTGTACTTACTATTTTTGGAAGTGGTGCAATGTCACCATAATTGACAGAAATTCCCTCTATTACTAAAAATCTCCTTGTTACACTTGCTTTCTTTGGATTCTGTGAACAAAATGTAGATGGAAAAACAAAGTGGTCATGACATTCCTCTAGTTAAAGAGAATTGGAAAATAATGGAATAAAATACATCACATACTTTGTCATCTTTCTCCTTCTGTTCATGTAAAAGCCTTTCAAGGTCTTCCATGTCATTGTGCTCAAACCACATTATACGACTCCTGGAAGCCACGAGACCTTTTTGAATTGCAAAAGATACTCCCTTGTCACTATGGAAAAAAAAAAAAGATAAATATGAAGAAAGAAATCAAAAGAAATTGAGAAGTATGAACAATATTTGAGGATAATCTTTCATATAGGGTGGAAACACGAGCCTCTGGGAAAACTTGCAGGTAATGAACCAGGAAAAAATCACTTCAAAAGTGTTAGGTGTATAAGTTATTAGTGATCTCACCAGAAAATAACATCCCCTCTCTTGGAGTAAGCAGGTATTACACTTGCTATTGTAGAAAATCCATAAGCATATAGAATAGCCTCCTCAGTTCTCATAAATTTTGCCAGTCTTTCTTCTAACTCCAGATGTACATCTGCAATATATGAAACATAGCTGTTATCCTTTTAACTCTCAGAAGTGATTCACATGTAACTTCTCCCTATAATATCTATACATTGTCCAACAAAGAAGTATTGAGAATACTCAAACTCATCAGGTGGAAGTTGTTTTCTTGATCTAACACCAAATTCTCATACCTAATTTCAGAGGAAATGTGAGGTACTTAGAGGAGAGAATTGACTACTTACCTATTGTCCCATAAAAACCACGGGGACCACAGGAACCAACACCATATTGATGCAAACTTTTGATGGCTGTGTCCTAAAAGTAATTGTAAGTATTCGCTTGGTAATTTGAACATAAGCAAAAGGTGAAAAAATTCTTTTTTAATTCTGAGGAGGCTATCTAGAGTTTAAATTACCTCTATTTTTTCATTTCCTACAAACCCAAGAAAGTTGAATGTTGCAAAGTTTAGACACTCTTTGTCATCTATATTCAAAGTATGACCAGGTTTCCTGATAGAAAAAAAAATTAAAAGAAAAAAAAAGCATGAGAATATTAGCAAAATAATGAGAACTTTTCACCTAAAAAGCAAAAAGGTTTAAATAACATTGTCACAAAAGTGTAACAACCATAAGTCGCAAAATAAATACTACGTAATTAACATTAATCAATAAAAATAGATATTAAATAGAGAAGTACTAACAATAACATTCATCTAAAAAAAGCTTTGGACAGGTTTCTTTTTACTGTAGACAAAGGAAATAAGTATTTCATACATACCCCTGTACTACTTTTGGAGTGAGTGTATCTAATTCATACGTAGGCGTTGCTGGCACTAATGGTTCTGGCTGCCATTCTTCAATCAGTTCTTCTTCTTCCTGGTAACAGAGAAAACAGATAAGGCTTTGTTTAACATTTCAAAATTTAGAGATTATCCGGTTCTATTACACGAGTTAATAATGAAGTTGTGAATAGTTTTGATATGAAAATCATATTTGTGGACTGCAGATTAAAAAATATTAACATGAGAGCAACCTTCCCAGTTATGAACACTACTTGAGCAATAGTGAAAATAAGTACGTATGATGCATGATCCTCACAGTAGCGAGCGCTATTTATGCAATAGTGAAAATCAGACCTGAAAACAATCAGGCCAGTACGGGATTCGAACCACTGACCTCTGCGATACTAGTGCAGCACTCTACCAACTGAGCTAACAAGCCAACTGGGAGCAGGCCGTTAAGTTGATTCGTGATAAACCCGTGACAATAAATCAGATACGATGAATATATGAGGTTCATATATTTTGAACTGCGGTTATAGATCCGTACGATGCACGATCCTCGTAGTAGAGAGCGCTATTTATGCAATAGCGAAAATCAGACCTGAAAAAAATCAGGCCTGTACAGGATTCGAACCACTGACCTCTGCCATACTAGTGCAGCACTCTATCAATTGAGCTAACAAGCCAACTGGGAGCAGGCCGTTAAGTTGATTCGTAATAAACCCATGACAATAAATCAGATACGATGAATATATGAAGTTCATATATTTTGAACTGCGGTTATAGATACGTATGACGCACGATCCTCGCAGTAGAGAGTGCTATTTATGCAATAGCAAAAATCAGACCTGAAAAAATCAGGCCTGTACGGGATTTGAACCACTGAAAATGAGGCCTAAAAAAAAAAATCAGGTTCGGATGGGATTTGAACCCATGATCTCATTTCAAAAAAATATTATTTGATGTCACACAAAGTGTGGTAACAATACTTGTTTCGGACTTCACACAATGTCAGAAAAGGTTTTACCTTGGAAGTTTTCCAAATATATATATTTTTTGTTTTTCTGTTTTAGGAAAAAGAACACATAAAATTCAAATTTCTCTAACCAGTGGAATATATTTTTTCTCTATTTTCATGTCTGGTGCAACATTTATAATTCAAATAAACAGTTTGCTGTATCCAGGGAACAGAAAGTTAATTCATGAACGCTAATTCGTAAAACCTTTACACCCCTAAAATTTACATTCATATTCTCCACACTGTAATCTTTACATTTCCCATGGTACTGAAAAGGAGAATTTGTTGGACAATCACAACCTCCTTTAATTTGAGATCATTTTCCTCATTCTCATGACCTCAAAGCCTGGATCAGCAGTGATGCTGTGAGGATAAATTATATCGCAGTCACTATTAGGAGAGAAAGGGTTAAAAGGCGCATTATTCTTGATTTTTACCAAAATCGTCAATAAAATTCATTTATACAGCTCTTACCTTCTCCGTGAGTTCAATCTTCTGTTCCCTGAATCTAAAGGTCTTGCTGGTTATCAGTCTAATGATCCAAATCACCAAGACAGCTTCAAAGAGAACATGATAGAAGGGCACCTATCGAAGTTGATATTAAAAATGTTTTTGCTTCCAACCGCATATGTTGACATATGTTTACGTACGTGTCAAGCTTTGGAAAACAATAGTTTTAAAATGTACGATTTCCAACGTCTATGCATGGTTGGCAAATAGCAACTGACCTTTGTGTAATATTCTAAGATCTCTATTCCTTGTGTGAGATAGATCGTAAAATAAGAAAGCTGCAAATAGGTAGTACTTGTCGCACTCTCCGTTGCACATTGTTCCACACGCGCCATTTTGTATTTTACTTTGGATACGCCCAGACTTGAAGGGATCTGGAAATGACACGTACCCAGTCTCACTCGTAAAAATCTGCAAGACTTCACGCGAACTTCGAAGCGTGTACAAACAACATCATGTCTTCCAAACTTAGAATGAGTAACGGCGACTGGGTCTGCACTGATAAGCGGTAATTTCTACATGAGGTGGTTGAAATGTCTCCATTATTTCTTAATATTTCTTTTCTTATACCTTTTCAGATGCGGTAATGTAAATTTTGCCCGACGTACTTCCTGCAACCGTTGTGGAAAAGGTAAGCCTCGGAGGCATGCCCTTGCCACGTCTCTTCACTTTCGTGAACAACATTATGTCGATAACAGATTTTGTAGCCATTTAATTAATTCATAAGTGATTTTTACTTTTTAAGAAATGGTTTATGATTCTGTATTTCCTCGAATTAATGGTAGAAAACGTCAGCTGTTTGTGAATTAACTTCATCGTTTTAGCATGCAACTTATAAGCTTGATCATAATTGTAAAATTGTAAGATGAAACTTTGTAAGATTAAACTTTGTCAGATTTGAAGGACTGGGAAAATATCATCCTTCGGTCGTTTGTTCGTATTTTGACCTCGATCGATATTTTGAATCTGTTACCATTTTCAAGTGCATTTTCTTTTCACTTCCTAAGAAAAAGGGAACATTGACAAAGTGAAGCTCACTGGGGCAGAAATTGGGAAACAAGCTGCAGCAAAAAGTAGAGGACTGTTTAGTGCTGATGACTGGATGTGCTCCAAGTATGTCTTCACTGCAATTTGAAATGTTACAATTGTGATGTTTTGTCTACAGGAGGTACATGCCTACTCCCCCACCCCTACCTCCTCCATCCAAGACTAGTGTTGGAAATGTTAAAAAAATATATCCTGCAGAGCATTTAGAATGGAAAAAAATACCCTGCCCCGCAGATTGCTAGAAGAAAAATTTCTTGATGACCAGAAATCACCCAACCCTACCCCTCAAAAGTTAAATGGTCGGCCCCTTAGCAACCTCAACTCTGAACCAAAAGCTCCAGGCTCCAGGCCTGATTAGAGTTATGGCTTTTATTCTTTGCTGGACATTTAACCTTTGCACCTTTACAGCCAGGGCCCAGTTGTATAATGGGAAGACAACCAGGAACAGGAAATTGCCAAGATGTTTTTTTGTGAATTTCTTATGGATGGAAGGGTTTCTAGCTTTACATGAATTAAATTATCATGAAATAACTTTTTCTTTTGCCTTTAGATGTGGTAATGTAAACTGGGCTCGAAGAAATGATTGTAACATGTGTGGACATCCTAAATTTGCTAAAGCTGAAGTTAGGACAGGTGATTTAAATTTTTTTCCTTTTTTTTTTGTCTAGGTTTTTCCAAAATCATGAATTATTTTTACTACAACAAAGCATCCTTCTACGTTTGATTTAGTCTAACAGGGGTTTCACTAAAAGCCGGTTACCAGACCTCTCACTGCTGTATGTTCAGCTATTGAGCAAGCTTTCATGTTTGGGTTCCAGCTCCTTATGGAACAAGTTATTGAAATCCCTGGTCTAGCCTTGTGGCTCTTTCACTCCCATGAGTGACCAAGACAGAATTTCTCCTTACAACTTCAATACAATATCAAGCAGACAAGTAATGAGAATAAGGAAAAATATGAACAAGGGAGTCATAATTTGATCCAATACCAAATTCTCCAAATTAAGATCATAAGAATTGTATGGCAGACAGTAAAGAGAATTACCTGCGAGATCTTGGGAATGTTATACATACTTAGATGTATTTGTATATACATGTACATAGATATCTTTTATTTAATAGAATAGTTTTTGATTTTGAATAACAAGATATTATATAAGCAAGGCATCCCTCGATAACAGTTGTGTCATATGATTGAAGGATTTACCCTGCTTTCTAATAAATAAAGGTTTACTTACATGCTTTCATTTAATAAATACAAGCTCTAATCCTTTGCTTGGGTTTGTAGGATATGGTGGTGGTTTTAATGAACGTGAAGGGGTAGAGTATATTCAAAGAGAAGATTCTGATGATGAATTTGATGAGGTATTTAAAAATCAAAGATAAAATAACATAGATACAACATGGTTAGATATTTTACATTAATTTATTTAGTTATAGTTTTATTACATAAATTAATTATATTTGCTGTTACTTGGTTACCTATTGCTTCCTGTAATCTCATCATTGTTACTTCTTTTTGTTATTCAAATTAATGGGATTAGCAATTGAAAACTAAACTTAGATGATCAATTTTACATCTTAATTATTTTGTCATTTAGACTGGAACTATGTCAAGACTTTCTGGCCATGATCAGTTACTTTGTTCAGACCAATTTTTCTCACCAAGTAACATTTTCTCATTTGAAATCTTTATTTTTGTATGGCAGTTTGGCAGAAGAAAGAAAGGAAAGCAGGGTGCTTCTCAAGCAGTTCTTCAACAGGTATATTCTGTATGGTCAATCTAGTTTGAAGATAAAAGAATTAGGAGTTTAACAAATCAAAGAGCTTTACAGTATACATCATCTTGAATATAAACCCTGTACAGCCTAAAA